AAACTATGAAATGGTACCTTTAGGACTTGAACAAATTTCTTCCTATTTTCTTAAATCAAATGGTAGCACTGAAAGAGAATGAAACTATTTTACCATCTTTTTGTTGCTATTACTAAAACACATTTGGAAACATTTTATTTTTCACATTTACATGTATAAACACTCTTATATCATCTAAGATTTTAGTGGCATTTAGAAAACAAAATTTATTGATCAGCTTTTTTTCTGTCATTTTGGTTAGCAACTAATTTTTTTAGTATAAAAGGAAAATATTTTTAGGAAACAAATCAAAACTGAATGTTTTTTCTCACTTCAGCTGATTCAATCCCCCCAAACTGGTAAGTGATTATAAACAACAGGACTTGTTCTAAACAACTCACTTTCTCAGCTCAAAGACTGAAGACTTCAGTTTTCAGTCTTCAATTTGCGTAACTATTATGAATCTCTTTCTATTCAGTCTGAAAAAAACCCTGACTTTCCCCCATTGGGGAATACTTAATGAATTTTTCCACAGGCTTCTTTCTTTACTGGGCCCATATATAAACCTGTAAACTCAGCTTTTCTATTTATAGTTTATTTATAAGCTCTAGTGGTCTTTAATTTGTTCTTTGACACAAGCGTAAAATCTTGTCAAAAAATGGGATTCAGATTTTATAAACCTTCTGACCCAGTACACATGAGAGTTGAAATTCTTTTTAATTGATACATGATATTTGTACATATTTATGAGGTAGATATAATATTTTGTTACATGTATAGAATGTGTAATGATTAAGTCAGGGTATTTAGATTATTAATGTTGCTTAAAATTTTACAAATTTATCTTATTGCTATAAAATGCCATCATCTTTAAATGGTGTTCAGAAAAAATCTTTTCATCACCGAACCAAGTATAAAACTGCCTTTGCAAAATTATGACTGAGACAGTGAAGGAGATCTAACTTAACCAACTCCATTTTGCTTCTAACCTCCAAGCTGTCCTTGTTCATTCTTGAAAGTAGGCTGAACAAACTTTGGGAGAAATTTAGTTTATAGTTTATAGTTTTAAAAAAAATGGTAACAGCCCTTTCCCAAAGCAGACCTCCTTCTTACCTGGGGACTACATTGCCTTTGTAGGACTAACATTAGACACAAGATTGGAAATTATGGTTTAGGAGTGACACAGCTAAAGGCTACAAGATTCTGACCCTCCCTAAACTGCTCCAAAGACCAGTGCTTGAGATATCTTGCAGACCCTACACTTGACGGATTAACTGGCACCACTCATATCAATAAACTGGCTGATCTGATTTTGTGGCCCCCACCTAAGAACTGACTCAGCCCAAAAATCAGCTTCAGGGCAGGTGCAGTGCCTCATGCCTGTAATCCCAGCACTTTGGGAGGCTAAGGGGGGTAGATCACCTGAGGTCATAAATTTGAGACCAGCCTGGCCAACATAGTGAAATCGTGCCTCTACTAAAAATACAAAAATTAGCTAGGCTTGATGGCGCACCTGTAATCCCAGCTACTTGGGAGGCTGAGGCAGGAGAATCGCTTGAACCTGGGAGGTGGAGGTTGCAGTGAGCCCAGATTGTGCCACTGCACTCCATCCTGGGCAACAGAAGCAAAACTCCATCTCAACAAAACAAAACACAGCTTAAATTCAACTCCCTATGATTTCATCCCTTATCAACTAGCACTCCTGGCTCACCAGCTTCCCCTCACTCACCAAGTTATCCTACAGAGTTTATCCAAGTAAACTCTGCTCCCTGAATGCTGGGGAGACTGATTTGAGTAACAATAAAACTCTAGTCTCCCACACAGCTGGCCCTGTGTAAATTACTCTTTCTCTATTGCAATTCCCCTGTCTTAAAGAATTAGCTATGTCTAGGCAGTGGGTAAAGTGAACACCTTGGGCAGTCACAAATATATGACCACATTAATTTTTGTCATTAAGTGTGCAGTAAGATTTATTATAATCACACCATTAAATATGCAAATTGATTTATTGCATACTTATTTATATATTTTAAAATTTGAATTTAGATTTAAAATATATCTATTTCTAAAATTTAAATGTAATAATTTTTAAATTTAAATTACATTTATTTGTGGTTACCTTTTATTGTAATAATACTGCACAAACAAGAAGTTATAATAGTGACATTTCATTTTAAAATGCATTAAGTTAAAAAGTGGGTTAGTTAATGTAAGTAAACAATATCACAATTATTTTACAGTTATGATTCTTTAATTACAGTATTTGGTGATAGAATATATTTTCTAAGATAGAGCACTTTAAAAAAAATCCCAATTCTTTAAGATGTACCACATGGTGTTAAGGAATTTCATAGCTCAATTCCTAGAGCATAAGTGTCCACACTACAGAGAACACCAGAATAATTGAGCACTTTTTCTTGTATTTGCATTTTCAAATTTGTTTGTGACTTGTACTTGAATAAGAGGGACTCTGAATTAAAAAAACAAAACAACCTTATGCTTTTCCCACAACTTTTCTTTCTTTTTCTTTCTTTCTTGCTTTCCTTCTCTCCCTCTCTCTCTCTTTCTTTCTTTTCTTTTTTTGAGATGGAGTCTTGCTGTCCAATAATGAAGAGTTCTTCAGTCACTTTAGTAGTTAAAATCTAGTTTTATGCAAAAATCAAAATACAACTGTCATTCATGTTAAAATTTCTTCTTTCCCTCAGTTTGGCCTGCTTTAGACAGGGCACCTGACATGTGAAGTGGGGACCAGTGCTAGTTCTTCTCCAACTGTCCCCCCTGAGGATTGCTAAGAGGGATTTCTGGTCCTCACAGAGTCAGGGGCAGAAATGAGGAGAGAGGGGCAGAAAAAGTCTTTATCAATTGGTACTTTCCCAACTCGATGTCAGTGCCATGCTGGCAGGTGGTTGTTGAAGGCATCTGTGGTTCCATCACTGGGATTCCTGGGTTGAGGTTCCCCTCAGTATCCTCATGGACTTGGCTGGCAGCTGACTATGCATCCTGTGTCCTGTCCCTGGATGTCCATCAGAAAATCTCCAGCCTCATTCTCTTCAAGGTCTCCTTGCTCCCTCCTGGTTTCTTTTCAGAGCAAGCTCTAACCACCCAGGTAGATTCTCTTTCACACAGCCTGCATGTGGAAGTGCAGACCACCCCAATACAATCTACATCTCTTGCTTAACTGTATCACCATAAGAGCCTCTCTAGGGTGGCTACGTGATTCCTGCTTCTTGGTCTTCATGCCCTTTTGTGGTTATTTCCCTGTGAATATGGGCAGGATCTTTGACTTACTTAGAATAACTGGAATCCTGTAAGGGTGACAGGATGTATGTGATTTGGGGTATGTGATTAGTTGATCACGTAACAGAAGACCGTAAACTCTGTCTTATTGGTGTCTCTTTCTCACCATTGCTGGCCTTGAGAAAGCAATCTGTCATGTTGCAGTCTTGATGTTGTAAGACAGTGTCGGTAGCCCTTAGGAATCAAGAGCAGTTTCTAGACATTACCCTCCAGCCAACACCTGGCAAGAAACATAGTTGTTTATCCTACAACTACAAGGAACTGAATTCTGGCAACAATATTGTAAGCTTGAAAGTGGATGCTTCTCTAGTGAAACCTCAGTTGAGACCTCACCCCTGCCAATACCTTAATTGAAACTTGGTGAGATCCTGAAGCAAAGAACCCAGTTAAGTCCTGCCCAGAGTCCCGACCTGTGAGATAACAGGTGTGCTGTTTAAAACCTCTGAGTTTGGGTGATTTGTTACATAACAATAAATTTAAAACACTGGCCATGGAGTAGAAAGCCCTGGTCTTAGGGATTTTTGGTTTCTACTGGTATGTTGAACTCAAATTTCTCATTTTCCCTAAACTGCAGAAAATCTGTGTCATGATCCCCATGTGGTCCCATCCCAGCCTCTCTCTCTGAGCTGGAGATGAGGGGAAAGTTCCTCCTTCCTTCTCCTATAGTGACAGGAGGGAAGAAATCACACAAAACATCAACAATTTCCTTCTAATGAAATTCTCCAGTAGTTTCCAAATGACATTCTGTTTCTAATGAAATCCTCTTTCTTCAGTCTTACCCAATCTCTTATGCTCTTACTCAATCTTTAAAGTTCTATAATCTGGTTGAGAAAACCGTTTTTTGCTCTGTTTTCTTAATTTCTACTTGGGTGAATGGGGTTTTATTGTGTAAATTAGGAGTGACTGCCATCTCCATGGCAAAATAAGAAGAGGGGTGGTGGGAGTGGTCTCTTCTGGTGCAGGCAATGAGAAGCATGGTCTGTAGCAAAGTTTCCCACAATAAGAAACTGCCATCTGCTTTTTATTATTCATTTGAAAGCAATTCTAAACACTCTTGGTCACAGAATACTCCTATGGGGGCTGGGGGGCAGGAATCTAAATTCTACCTGAATAATTACCTGCTCCGGGGGCTGACTCCTCCTGCTGCTCTGCCCTGGGTGCAACTCTTGTCTTTGTGCCATCTCCTGTCTTTGGGCCTCAGATGAAACTGGACAGAAAGCGTTTCCTCCTATTCCCTGTTCTATACCTAGAGGGGCAATTTAGCTTCTAGCTCTACAGCTGAATTATAGAAAACGTGGTTCCTCAGGACACTTTGCTGTCATCTGCTGGGCAGTTGTGAAAAGTACACAAAAAGTGGTTGGAGAGGGTGTTCTATGTGTGCATGTGTTTGTGTAAATCCATGCACATCCAACTATAAGAAAACATATGGATCATTTAGCACTATCTAAGACATGAAGAATTGAGATGCAAAATTCCCTCCACATCTTTTCTTTGGTCTAGCAAGAGTGGTACCAGAAAGCCACTCTGGTGGTCTTGAGAATTCTAGGTGTGTCTGTGTGCAAGTTTTGCAAGGAGGAAGTAAGGAGGGTGTTCAGCTATGGAAGGGTGGTCTAGCTCTATCATCTACGAAGGTGAGGCAGGGAACGATGGAAGAGGAAGAAAGGAAGCTCATAAATGTTTTTTATGTTAAAAATAAACTACAATTTATTTAATTAAGCATAAAGTTACTTTCTCATTTGTCTACAACCACAGTAGACCTGGTGTCCTGGTGGAGGAAACATCATCCTACGATCCTGTTCCCACTGAGGTGACAGGAACCCAGTGTCAGAAGGAGCCCTGTGAAGATCTGGTAACCTACCACAGGTTGATTCTCCTCTTTCATTGGTACTCTGACGATGCAGAGGATTCTCTGGGCCTCTTGAGCCTCTTCCTTTCCCCATGGGAAGCAAAGGTGAGAGTCTGAGTGGACCCTCCAACAAAGTTGGAGGACAGAGAAAAGCTCTCGTTTCAAATGAAGGTCCACCCATTGGTGAGGGACCATACGGGGAATGTTCTCTGCCAAATGCCCTATTTGGAACATCAAATGCATCAGGATATTTTGCTAAGAGTTTAAATTTAAACTCTATTTCAGTTAATTTTTGTCTGCTGTGAGCATTTTCTTTCCTTAAATCATTGAGGTTTCCTTCAGCAGTCTGAGCTGCCAACCGATTACGATGTGCTTTTTTCTCATAGACAGTAGTCCACCGTTGATAGTAATGAATAGTTCTCTTGAGTTCTTCTTCGAGATCTTTGGCTCGCTTTCTATAGGTCTCCAGTTCCTCGGTGGCATGGACGATTTTTTTGTCTACTTTAGAAAGTTTCTCTTCTTTCTCTAACCAGCTGTTTTCCTGTAGTGTTAATTTCTTATAGAGTCTCATTTCATTTTCTTTATAGAACTGAGTCATTATTTTAAGTTTCTGTTGAAGCTTCTGATTCTCACTTTCTAAATGTGTATTTTCTGACTGCAAAGATGCTTGTTGAGTCTGAAGATTTTTAATACACTGTGTAAGCTCTTCCTTTGTTTTTTCAACCTCAGATAACTGAAAATCAATTTGGTTTCTTTCTCCTTCCAAGATTTTTAAAGAAGCGTTTAACTTAGCAGCATGAATCAGTTTCTTCAAAGCTCCTTTTGGAGGATGATCTAAGTTAGCACCATCTTCTGATTCGGTGTTCATTGCTAATTTCAAGTTCTCCTCTTCCATTATGTCTTCTCCAAGCACAGCAGCCCAGTCTTTCATCTTCAGCAAGCATTCCGTCAGAGTCTTGATGTGATTGTCTTTATCATTTAGAACTTGCTCTGCATGTGCTCCAGAGTCTTCTGATGTTATTTTCTGTTTATTAAGTTCACTCACTTGTTCTTTCCATACTTCAACATCTTGCAAAAGCTCTTTCTGACTTTCCTGAAGTTGAGAATTTTCATGCAAGGCATCTTTTATTGCTATCTTCAGTTGTTCTTCATTCATTTGAGATATCTTGAAGATGATTTTGGCTTCAGCTACTTGTGATTTGAGAGATTTTGACTCATCTTCTAGAGACTGTATCATTTTTGAAATATCTGCCATCAGTTGCTTTTGTTCAGAATGTTTTGATTTCTGTTCTTTTAACTCTTTTTTGAGACCAAGTATCTCATCCTCAAGTTCATCATTGGACCTGCTCAGCTTTTCACTTGTTGCCTCCAAACTTCATGCCTCTACTGCCTGCTCCTCAAAGCTGGCCTCCGTTAAAGATGACTCTACTTCACAGTCTTCATGCTCTTTTTTAACGAGGGTAAGGTTTTAAAGTAGTTTACATTTTTTGTCAATTAGTTCAGAAAACACACCGGCAAGCTTTTTCTCTCTTCTCACATAAAGACGACTCCTAACCGATCTCAAACTTCTCCACAAAAAAAAAAGGGAACAGCAAAAAATCCAACAATAGCTGCCCATATAATGAATTCCCATGGAAACCCATAAGAATTAGAATCTGCTGTCATATTTTGAGGCAGTGCTGCCACAACCCTGTGTAGCTCCACTAGGACCAACCCTAGGTAGGGCTGAGAGGTAGACCTGGACTCTGCACAGCGCTAAGGCTGATCTGGCGGTTGCCACAGTAACTGGGCCAACAATAAGCAGAAGAGAACAGGCAGCCTTCCATTTGGAACCCAAATCCACCAGAGCAGACCACTGCAGAGCTGGCTGTGGGAGGAGCTAGGCACACATAAGCCTCAGAGGCCCACGCTGCCCACTCTGCCCCCTTGTTACACTTTACATTCTGAGGCATCACTAAAACCTATGTTTTATTTTATTTTATTTTTATTGCATTTTAGGTATTGGGGTACATGTGAAGAACATGCAAGATAGTTGCATAGGTACACACATGGGAGTGTGAATTGCTGCCTTCCTCCCCTTCACCTATATCTGGCATTTCTCCCCATACTATCTCTCCCCAACTTCTCACCCCACGCTGTTTCCCCCTATTTCCCCCAACAGACCCCAGTGTATAGTGCTCCCCTTCCTGTGTCCATGTGTTCTCATTGTTCAACACCCGCCTATGAGTGAGAACATGCGGTATTTCATTTTCTATTCTTCTGTTAGTTTGCTGAGAATGATGTTCTCCAGGTTCATCCATGTCCCTACAAAGGACACGAACTCATCGTTTTTGATTGCTGCATAATATTCATGGTGTATATGTGCCACATTTTCCTGTCCAGTCTATCATCGATGGGCATTTGGGTTGATTCCAGGTCTTTGCTATTGTAAACATTGCTGCAATGAACATTTGTGTGCATGTGTCCTTATAGTAGAATGATTTATAGTCCTTTGGGTATATGGCCAGTAATGGCATTGCTGGGTCAAATGGAATTTCTATTTCTAGGTCCTTGAGGAATCGCCACACTGTCTTCCACAATGGTTGAACTAATTTACACTTCCACCAACAGTGTAAAAGTGTTCCTATTTCTCCACATCCTCTCCAGCATCTGTTGTCTCCAGATTTTTTAATGATCGCCATTCTAACTGGCGTGAGGTGGTATTTCAGTGCAGTTTTGATTTGCATTTCTCTAATGACCAGTGATGATGAGCATTTTTTCATGTTTGTTGGCCTCATGTATGTCTTCTTTTGTAAAGTGTCTGTTCATATCCTTTGCCCACTTTTGAATGGGCTTGTTTGTTTCTTTCTTGTAAATCTGTTTGAGTTCTTTGTAAATTCTGGATATCAGCCCTTTGTCAGATGGGTAAACTGCAAAAATTTTTTCCCATTCTGTTGGTTGCCAATTCATTCTAGTGACAGTTTCTTTTGCCATGCAGAAGTTGTAAAGTTTGATTAGGTCCCATTTGCCTATTTTGGCTTTTGTTGCCAATGCTTTTGGTGTTTTGTTCATGAAGTCCCTGCCTACTCCTATGTCCTGAATAATTTTGCCTAGATTTTCTTCTAGGGTTTTTATGGTGTTAGATCTTATGTTTAAGTATTTAATCCATCTGAGTTAATTTCAGGAAGGGGTGCAGCTTCTGCTTTCCACACATAGCTAGCCAGTTTTCCCAGCATCATTTATTAAACAGGGAATCCTTTCCCCATTGCTTGTTTTTGTCAGGTTTATCAAAGATTCTACGGTTGTAGATATGTTGTGTTGCCTCCGAGGCCTCTGTTCTGTTCCATTGGTCTGTATCTCTGTGTTGGTAACAGTACCATGCTGTTTTAATTACCGTACCCTTGTAGTATAGTTTGAAGTCAGTTAGTGTGATGCCTCCCGCTGTGTTCATTTTACTTAGAATTGACTTGGCTATGCGGGCTCTCTTTTGGTTCCATATGAAGTTTAAGGTGTTTCTTTCCAGTTCTGTGAAGAAGGTCATTGGTAGCTTGATGGAAATAGCATTGAATCTGTAAATTATTTTGGGCAGTATGGCCATTTTCACAATATTGATTCTTCCTAACCATGAACATGGAATGTTTCTCCATCTGTTTGTGCCCTCTCTTATTTCGTTGAGCAGTGGTTTGTAGTTCTCCTTGAAGAGGTCCTTTACGTTCCTTGTTAGTTGTATTCCAAGGCATTTTATTCTCTTTGTAGCAATTATGAGTGGCAGTTCATTCTTGATTTGGCTCTCTTTAAGACTGTTATTGGAGCATAGGAATGCTTGTGATTTTTGCACATTGATTTTATATCCTGAGACTTTGCTGAAGTTGCTTATCAGTTTAACGAGTTTTTGGGCTGAGAAGATGGGGCCTTTAGATATACTATCATGTCATCTGCAAATAGAGACAATTTGGCTTCCTCCTTTTCTATTTGAATACCCTTTATTTCTTTTTTTTTTTTTTGCCTGATTGCTCTGGCTAGAACTTCCAGTACTATATTGAATAGGAGTGGTGAGAGAGGGCATACTTGTCTAGTGCCGGATTTCAAAGGGAATGCTTCCTGTTTTTGCTCATTCAGTATGATATTGGCTGTTGGTTTGTCCATAAAATAATAGCTTTTATTATTTTGAGATATGTTCCATCAATACCGAGTTTATTGAGGGTTTTTAGCATAAAGGGCTGTTGAATTTTTTCAAAGGCCTTCTCTGCATTAATTGAGATAATCATGTGGTTTTTGTTTTTGGTTCTGTTTATGTGGTGAATTACGTTGATAGACTTGTGTATGTTGAACCAGCCTTGCATCCTCGGGATGAATCCTACTTGATCATGATGGATAAGCTTTTTGATGTGCTGTTGCAATCGGCTTGCCAGTACTTTATTTAAGATTTTTGTGTCTATGTTCATCATGGATATTGGCCTGAAGTTTTCTTTTCTTGTTGGATCTCTGCCGTGTTTTGGTATCAGGATGATGTTGGTCTCATAAAATGATTTGGGAAGGATTCCCTCTTTATGGATTATTTGGAATAGTTTCAGAAGGAATGGTACCAGCTCCTCTTTGTGTGTCTGGTAGAATTAGGCTGTGAACCCATCTGGACCTGGGCTTTTTTTGTGTGGTAGGCTCTTAATTGCTGCCTCAACTTCAGACCTTGTTATTGGTCTATTCATAGTTTCAGCTTCCTCCTGGTTTAGGCTTGAGAGGACACAAGTGTCCAGGAATTTATCCATTTCTTCCAGGTTTACTAGTTTATGTGCATAGAGTTGTTTGTAATATTCTCTGATGATGGTTTGAATTTCTGTGGAATCTGTGGTGATTTCCCCTTTATCATTTTTTATTGCATCTATTTGGTTATTCTCTCTTTTTTTTTATCAGTCTGGCTGGTGGTCTGTCTAGTTTTTACCTTTTCAAAAATTCAGCTCTAGGATTTATTGATTTTTTGAAGGGTTTTTCAGGTCTCTATCTCATTCAGTTCAGCTCTGATCTTAGTTATTTCTTGTCTTCTGCTAGGTTTTGAGTTTTTTTGATCTTGCACCTCTAGCTCTTTCAATTTTGATGATAGGGTGTCAATTTTGGATCTCTCCACTCTTCTCATGTGGGCACTTATTGCTATATATTTTCCTCTAGTGACTGCTCTAAATGTGTCCCAGAGATTCTGGTATGTTGTGTCTTCGTTCTTGTTGGTTTCGAAGAACTTCTTTATTACTGCCTTCATTTCATTGCTTATCCAGTCAACATTCAAAAGCCAGTTGTTCAGTTTCCATGAAGCTGTGCAGTTCTGAGTTGGTTTCTGAATTCTGAGTTCTAACTTGATTGCACTATGGTCTGAGAGACTGTTATGATTTCAGTTGTTTTGCATTTGCTGAGCAGTGCTTTACTTCCAATTATGTGGTCAATTTTAGAGTAAGTGTGATGTGGTGCTGAGAAGAATGTATATTCGGTGGATTTGGGGTGGAGAGTTCTGTAAATGTCTATCAGGTTTGCTTGCTCCAGGTCTGAGTTCAAGCCCTGGATATCCTTGTTAATTTTCTGTCTGGTTGATCTGTCTAATATTGACAGTGGAGTGTTAAAGTCTCCCACTGTTATTGTGTGGGAGTCTAAGTCTCTTTGTAAGTCATTAAGAACTTGCCTTATGTATCTGGGTGCTCCTGTATTGGGTCCATATATGTTTAGCATCGTTAGCTCTTCTTGTTGTATCGATCCTTTTACCATTATGTAATGTCCTTCTTTGTCTCTTTTGATCTTTGTTGCTTTAAAGTCTATTTTATCAGAGAAGAGAATTGCAACTCCTGCTTTCTTTTCCTCTCCATTTGCTTGGTAAATCTTCCTCCATCCCTGTATTTTGAGCCTTTGTGTATCCTTGCATGTGAGATGGGTTTCCTGGATACAGCACACTGATGGGTTTTGTTTTTTTATCCAATTTGCGAGTCTGTGTCTTTTGATTGGTGCATTTAGTCCATTTACATTTAGGGTTAATATTGTTATGTGTGAATTTGATACTGCCATTTTGATGCTTGCTGGATGTTTTGCCCATTAGTTGATGCAGATTCTTCATTTTGTTGATGCTCTTTAGCATTTGGTATGTCTTTGGAATGGCTGGTACTGGTTGTTCCTTTTTATGTGTAGTGCCTCCTTCAGGAGCTCTTGTAAAGCAGGCCTGGTGGTGACAAAATCTCTGAGTACTTGCTTGTTCACAAAGGATTTTATTTTTCCTTTACTTATGAAGCTCAGATTGGCTGGATATGAAATTCTGGGCTGAAAGTTCTTTTCTTTAAGGATGTTGAATATTGGCCCCCACTCTCTTCTGCCTTGTAGTGTTTCTGCTGAGAGATCTGCTGTGAGTCTGATGGGCTTCCCTTTGTGGGTGACCTGACTTTTCTCTCTGGCTGCCCTTAGCATTTTCTCCTTCATTTCAACCCTGGTGAACCTGATGATTATGTGCCTTGGGGTTGCTCTTCTTGCGAGATATCTTTATGGTATTCTCTGTATTTCCTGGACTTGAATATTGGCCTCCCTTGCTAGGTTGGGGAAATTTTCCTGGATAATATGCTGAAGAGTATTTTTCAGCTTGGATTCCTTCTCTTCATCACATTCAGGTACACCTATCAAATGTAGATTAGGTCTCTTCACATAGTCCCACATTTTTTGGAGACTTTGTTCATTCCTTTTTGTGCTTTTTTCCTAATC